CCGTCCCTCCGCGGCGGCGGCTCCATGGTGCCCGCCGCCCCCCGCCGCCCCGCAGCAACAGGCAGGACGAGGAGGAAGCGGCCCCCGGGGGTCCGCACCTCCCCGCCGCCGGCTTGAGCGGCGCCGCAGCGGGAGCGACCGAGCGGGCCGCCGCGGGCCGCCGGCGATGGCGAACCAGCTGGTGATCCTGAACGTGTACGACATGGTGAGCACCGGCACGGCACGGCACGGCACGGCACGGCATGGGGCGGCAGGCGGGGGGCTCGGCCCCCTCATCAGGGCGGTGGCAGGGAGTGTCCTGCCCTGCGGGGGCCACGGCGACTGGGAAACTTTGCCTGCCCTTCCCGTGCCTGTCCCCGCGGGAGCTGGATCCGTGGGCGGCGGAGCGGGAGAAATAACCGGGGAGGGGAGGGAAAAGGGGGGCGAAGGCGATGATTTGAGAGGTCTTACGATTTCTACAGCCCCTCTGTGACCTGCGACAAAAGTTTGCCCGGCTGGGTCTTCCAGTGGCAGGTGGATCTGCTCCCTGTTGCGAGGAARCTTCCCCTGCCATGAGTGTCCCCAAGCTGTATGCTTCCTCTGCTWCTGCCCCAAAGCTCAGCAGCCGGGAGGCCCTGCCTGTCTGCTCACGACAGCCAGAAAAGGGTCCAGTTTTCCAGGAGGATGGTAGTTGGGGATAACCTCTGTCTCTGCAAGAGTCAGATAACCTCTGTCTCTGCTTTTTAGCACAGCATCAGTAAGGTGATTCTTTTATAGACCATATTTTTTGAATACTTTTGTTATGGCTGCGACTTGGGAGTAATAAAGGAATCGCTCCAGCTTGGTTTTGCAGCCCTATGAGCTCACCTTCCCTCCCTCCTGGGTAATCTTTCTGTGGCACCTACAGCAACTGTTGTATTGTCTCGTGTTCAGCTGGAAGCTGCTCAAATGCCATGGTAACAAATGAGGTGTAAGTACCTCCACGGAACAGGAGGTTTGGATAAGTAATATTAAGAAAATATTATCCCTTAATGCCTATCAATCACTGGAAATTAAAACGAGTGGCACTAATTCTCTGGCCAAGTTTGGAGTCTACTGATTGAGGGACAGTAAGGTGGAGAACTAGCTTCAGGTGACAGTGGTTGTATTATTTGGCTTATTTTGGATAGGCTTTCCTACCACCACCATTTTAAAGTGAACCTTCACTGTTTTGAAAGGGTGAAGGTATATAGTGTAGTGTCAGCGACTGCGTGAAGTGAGAAAACACAGCTTGTTTGCTTGGGAACTGTCACGTTCAAATGCTAAAATGTTTAATAGCAATTCACAGGGAGCTATCTTGCTTGAAATCAAATACATTTATGATATCATGGAAACTAGCCTGATTTTTGTCATTGTTTTCTTTCACTCTCATACTTACCTTAGAAATCAGCATCCCTGTTTTGGGGTTATTTTGCCCACCCCTGTGTTTGAGTTCTGTCTCCAGCAAATGTAGCCTGTTACTTTGTGGTTTCCTGCCTTACAGAGAGTGAGGGGAACTGGAGACAGGAACAGTCTGTTCACTGTGATTTTTTGGAGAGATGGGAGAAAAAAAAAGAAAAGGTCTCTGCTCACCTGGTTGAGCTCATATGTGATGCTAATATGAGAAAAGTCACAGTGTGCCTTATTTTTATGCTGAATTTGAGGAGGGCAGGATGCCCTGTCACATGCATATATATGATTTCTATGGACTGCAGTGCAAAAATATATTGGGGAATCTCTTTTAGCATAAAAAGAGATTGTTTTACATATATTAACTATAAATATTTGTACAGAGAAAGAAGTAGGACTTTGGTTTCGTGACTCTTACATAAGAATATCTTTGAAGTCAAGGCTTGACGCACTTCTGACTCACCAAAATGGAAGACCCACCRTTCTCACAAAGACTTGCTTGGTTGTGCAAAGTGTCACCTAGGCCCAGTTCACAGGCAGGAAAGGGACTGACTCCTGTGTAAAATGCCTGCCTGAAAARTAGTGCCATAGCCTCTGTGACAAACTTCATTCTTGCTACAATGGTAGCAMTGGTGGGGTGTGACTTCAGCATGATCTTATGATAGTCTACTCTTCCATTCATGTCATCCTTTCTTTTCCTTCAAAGTTGAATTGCTGTGATCAGTTTTACTCCAGCCATCCTAGGAAGGCTGGCAGTTGACACGGGGGAAGGGAGGAAAAAAAAAATCAACAGGAAGGGTGTTCTCATAAAAGTTAGTGTCATACTTTTCCTAGGGAGACACTAGGGACTGTTGGTTGTCCTGTTATTACTGGACCTCTGCCTCCATCAAGAAGTCATGTAGTCTCTAAAGCCACCATCTGTGGAAGGAACTTGCTCTCCAAAAGAAGCAGCCAAGCACATTTATCTACAGATGTTTGATTACCTGTAGGGGAGACTTTTTGTATATTGGTCTGGAGTTGTGGTATTTGTAGAAGCGGTACATCGCCACAGATTATAGTATAACCCGAGACCACTAAGGAGAATATTTCTATTTCCTGCTGGAGTCTTGTTGTTTTGTAGTGATTGCTACCTTGTTTGACCAGTAGAGAAATTCTTTTCTTTCAAACTGGTGAGAAACACAGGTTCGCATGATATYTGAAAGATACCATCAGTATACACCCTTTGTCAGACTTCTCTGCTGAACCACATCTCAGTCCATTTGAAACTTGTTTGAAGCAGGAGTTTAAACCAAAGCCTCAATTCATGTTGCATAGCAGTTTTTATTGCTTGTACACTGCCTGCTGAAATCAATGATACTGCTTTATTTGGGGGCACTAGAAGTGGGTGGAAGAAGGGAAGAGTCTTCTGTAATAGCTGTTTTGAAGTTCCGTTTATTCATCAAATCATGCCAACTGTGTATTTGAAACATTAGCAGGTTTGTTCTTTCCTTCGACATTCCCTGTCACTTGTAAGTGGGTTTGAGATTTTTTGGAGTTTTTTTGTTTCTCTTGGAGCAAGAGACCATTGTTACTCACCTGGTTGATAGAATCAACATTACTGTAATAATGTTGATTCACAGACAGCTTTATTTTAACCTGAACAAAAACTGTGGCTTCATTTCCCAGGCAGCTGCTTAGGTATGCAGGGGAATACTAAGTGACCTTCCTACTGCTGGAACTCCTTACAGGACTGAGTTGGTTGCTTTTGGAGGATATACCCTTCCAATGTCCTTAGTGCTTGAAAAAGCTAAAATCTTTGATAGAACTGAAGTGCAAGGGGGATGCATGCATTGTAGAAGAAAGTGGACTTTCAAGTACTGCTAACTTTATGGAGTGAGAGAAGCTTAAGGGTGTATTTACATGGTACAGTTCATGCCTTTGAACATCTTTTATGATCATTAAAAGGGTAGGGTGAAGACTTTGATATATTGTGTTTTGAGAACTGGAGTCCTTTATAGTTTCATTTTAACTAACTGCTATTTTTAGGAGTCTAGTTTTTCTGTGCCCAAGWAGTATCCTATTTTTTCCCTTGTCAAATAAGGCGATAACAGCCAAAGTAATAATGTAAATGAAAGCTCTGAAGATATTTTTGAAGCACTGGGATTAATGTTTTTCTTTCATTGTAGTGACATGACTTTATTGTGCACATAGAAAATACTTCTCTAATATTTTTCTTCTGATATCTTAAACCTAAAATCCTGTTTTACAAGACTGACTTATTGCAAAATATTGAAGATATGGGATTGCACCATACTATTATGGCAAAATTCATATCAAGACTAGAGAGAATCCAGTTTGTGTAATGGAAACTAGGATGTAGCGTTTGGGATCAGTTTGGGCATGTTACTGTACCAGTGAGCTATATAGATGTCATTTAATTTACAATCTTTGTCAATTAATTTTGTACGTTGTATATAATCTTTTCAGCTGTAGCCAAATTCAGCAGTCTTTGTTGCATTTGTCCCGCATTTCTTCCTTCAGTAAGATAAGGCATTTTGTTCAATGAGAAATTGTGACCAACCTTCCAATAGCTCATCCAGATTAAGTAATAATTAGATATAATTACTGTTCCTAGGGAGAAAGTAATTCTGCCTCATTGAAATTCTTTTATCTTCAATTAACCTACTCTGTTCTTACTGGAAATACTAAGCAAAGTGCCAGCTTGCTTCAGGCACTTCTTCCAAAACTGCTAACTTTTGTTTTATTTGCCGCCAGTGCTCATTTGGTATCACAGTGAGCCCCATGTATTTAGGTGGCACCAGTAAGGAGGAGTGTGTACTTGGGTAGGCACAGGCCATGCTGAGTACCTTGCTGGATCAGCTTTTCATCCCCTTCATCCGCCTCTGTGCGGATCGATGAGAAGCGTTGGTGACTCACTTTTCTCTTCTCTCCCTGTGCTTTGTGTTTGGTTTCATGGAGTCGGGGGTGGGGAGGAGCATGAATAATTTTTTTCCTAATTTTTTTTTGTCTAATAACCTACTAGGCTTTATTCTATCCTGCTACTTGTGGGATTATCTTGCACAACTTTTGTTCTGTTTTCAGAGAGCAGGCATAACCTTGCTTGGCATTGACAGATCCAATGGGTACATGATATGTGGGTTGTTTGGAATTCAGCGGCCAGGTTCTGAGTTTTGTTGCCACAAGTGCCCAAGAGAGGGGAAGATGAGAGCACCAGAGACCCARCTCTAGATTAGGTTCATTTGGATACCTCTTCTCATTAAGCAAACATACTTCATTCCAGTG